GCCAGGAAAAGGACCAGATCCTAGATCAGCAGGACACGGTACCCTTGCCCTGACAGAACTTTAAAATCGGGCTCCGGGGAAGACACTACTGACAGCCCTAGCATCCCCCAGCTTCACATGAGCCCTAAAGCCATAAGCAGTGGTACAAACTGGGGGTCCATGGCCCCTCTGGCTGGATGACTGTCCCAACTGCCTGACTAGCCCTCCTCACCCCTCCTCCTCACCATGGCGAGAACCAATGAAGTAACACATTGGAGAAGCCCTTCCTAAGCCCAGAGTACTCCCCCTGGGTCCTTCTGTTCCATTAATTATCAGAAAGAGGAGCCTAGGCCTTGGCCTCCCCTGGGAGGAGGGATTGCCTCACACCCGCCCTCCCCACTGCCAGGGCCTGGACCCTCTCTGCCTGCCAGGGCCTAGAACCAGTTCTCCCGGGCAGAGCACAGCAGAGGCCCAGCAGAAACTGCAGGAACACAGGATGGACGAGAATCAGGGCACCACCTCGGCCATGAGAACCTAATCGCACGGGTGCCCACCTGTCGGCGCCTCTGGGAAAACCCTATGGAAACCAAGGGCTTGGGGCCTCAAGGCAGAAATCGCAGGCCTGAGCTCTCTGAGGAGGTGTTCCACGTTCACCAACCCGTCAACTGCATGGCCAACCCACAGCCATTTACTGAACCCATGTCCCCTGCCCAACATCAGACTGGGTGTGATGGGGGAAGACTCGACTAACAGGGAAGAAATAGTGAAAAACACCCTATGAAATTTCCCAGAGTGCTACAGCCAAAAATACTAATAGCAAGGGCTATGGGGTGCAGAGAAGGGGGTCAGGATGAGCCAGAGAGCCTTGTGGACTCCTGAAGAACAGATAAATGAAACCCCAGGGGGAGCAGAGGCAGGGAGGAAAGAAGAGGCCAATATAAAGGGGGGACTGGTCCCTCTCAGAGGACCTTTCTCATAGAGAACGGTAGGGAGGTGCGGTGGGAGGAAGTCACAGTGAGCACCAACGCCTGAAAAACGGCCTGAGGATTCCTGACACCATGAGGGAGACAATGGGGAGCTACTATAGGTTGTTGTCATGATTCAAGCACAGCTTAGTCCTTAAAAGGCTTAGGAAGGAAGTGAAGGGAATCCATAAAGGGACAGACAGAAGACAAGAGCTTCCCACCTCCAGCCGGAATTCCCATCTCAGTCCCAGGGAAGGAGCAAATGTCTCATTTTCCTCACCCAGTTACTTTACATTTCATTCCTTTTGTGATATTCTAAGCCTTCTTAAACATTTTTTTTTCTGGGGGAGGAAAGCCTGGGGAGGTAGGTAATCTCAGATGGAAAAGTCAAAAGTGAACCTCACTTAATAACTGGATTGACAAGGGTGTCATGGCAAAAGGAAATGCAGCTGGTGGAATATTTTAAGGGAAGCAAGCCCCCCAGGCGGGGCATGTGCACCAAGGAAGGGGCAGGTGTAGACTGGGGTCTGGTCAAAACCCCAAGACGGGACAACACAGTCCTCAGGCCCCACATCCTGTGCCCCACCACGAACTTCCCTTCCTGATCCTGAGAAGGCCATGCTGCCTTGCGCCCCAGACCCTTTGCACAGGCCATACACCTCCCTCCGCAATGCCCTTCTTCCCTCTTTCCTAAATTCCAGTTCACCCCTTAAAAGCCAGAAGCCACCTCTTGTTGATGCACGGATGATCCACGGGTGATGCCCTTCCCGAGGTACCCTGAAACCTCACCCTATCTTGGGGTGACTAGGCATCCTCTAGCCTTCCAGTACCCCCAGTATCTTACAGAGTGCGCAGACACAGAGGGTTCTGGCTGCCCAATAACGGGGCCCTGCTGGAAGTTTTAAAGAGCAGGTGTTGCATTCTGAGGTTAGGAAGGGTTGGCTGGCCCTTCAAGTGACATTGCCTAGGAAACATCCGGAACCGTGCTTTGGGGAGGGGAGGTGTCTTTCTGGGAGGAAGGCAGGTAGATGGTAGGATCTATGAGAGCCCTTAAGTTGTTAAGGGGGATCAAGAGCAGCGGGGGGCGGAGGGGCAGGCAGAGATCTGGGGATGCCATCGCCACGGGACAGAGGAGGAGGCTGAGCAGATGCAGTTGGGGGAAATGGGGAAGAACTTCAGGGCCAGTCAGGAAGGCCAAGGGACGCAGTATCAGAAGAAAGGGCAGAATGCCAGGGAACGAGGTGAGGTGGCCAGGGGTGGAAGGGTTTCTTTACCTCTGGTAGGCCACTCTGTGGGGACAGTTACTACTCTTCAGTCTGAAGGGAACCTGACAGTCTTGGAGCCAGCTGTGTTTCCCCAGCATTCGTGTTACCTGCAGCTGGCTGTCTGTTAGACGCCGGGTACGGTACTGAGGCCAGGCCTCGGCAGGCAGCAGGAAGCCTGATGGGGGCCCGAGCCCGTGGCCAGCACCTAAGTGCAGCCCCTGTCCCCTACTCTGAGACTGAGGCAACCAGCAGCTCTGACTCCTGTGCTGCCAGTCGCAAATTCTCGATGGACTCTTTAGTCATAGAATATAAATAAGGAAGGAAAAGATTGGCAAAAAGTATATTATTATTTTTTTTTAAGTAAGCTCTACACCCAGCGTGGGGCCTGAACTCAAGACCCAGAGATCGAGAGTCTTGTGCTCAACATACTGAGCCAGCCAGGCGCCCCAGAAAATATATTTTGGGGGTAGGGGAAGACCTCTACATCTCAAGTCACATATAACTAAAACATTTTCAATTGAATCAACTTTTCAAGTTTTTCTGTTAATGCTCATCAACGACCTTTCTTGGCTGGGGATGGGGAAGTGGATGGCAAATATCGAGAGTTTACTAGAAAAGCTTTTGATGATTGCTGAAGCTGGGTGATAGGTATGTGGGGGCTTCTTCAGCCCACCATTCTCTCTGCTTCTGCGTATGCTATAAGAGGCCCATGAGCAAGTCTTTTTAAGTTCTAGTGGAAATGATAAAATCGAGAAAATGCCCCGACTATCCTCATTTTTCCTGTGAGTTGAGAGAAGATCCCCTTTTCTCTGGCAGCTGAGGGCAGGCTTCCATACTGCTTCTTCAGGGAATCCTAGTCTGAGAACCACAGAATGTATGAGTGTTCCAGGTCTAAACGTCATTATGCATAGCCTTCTGGCTCCAGGACTCCGGGAGAGCAGGAAAATGCACCCCTCTGCCCTGCCCCTGCTGGCTGCCGGGGGCTGATTAGTAGGCAACCCACCAGATGGCAAGAACAGCCCCAGTTCCTGAATTTCGTCCTAAAGACCACACTCTGAGCTCAGTGTCAAGTGCCTCTCTTCTCCGGGACCCTTGACAGGCCGCCCCTTCTCCAGGCCCTTCCAGGACAGAAATTTCTGCCTTCCTGGAGCCTGAAGGAACTGGAGACCATCATACAGACAAACCCTCTACCTCATTCTGAACTTCTTCTAGAGCGAGCGCTCACACAGTGTAAGTCGGACAATGCCTTCCTTTGAAGGCCTGGGGCGAACGCCCCAGATGGTGGCAACTCACACCATTTCTGCTCCCTCCCTGCTGCCGGAGGTCTACCATCTCTGCAGATCAGCCAGGAGAGCGGCCCCGCACATCGGGCTTGATGGGCTGCTGACTCCTTGGTCTTTCGGTCTCCACGGCCTCACCTCCTGTCCCTGCTGCAGCCTGCCATGGGCTGGCTTCCACCCCCACGGAAGCTTCTCTTAGAAAAGTCACCAGCTACCTCCAGGTTGTCAGAGGCAATGGACATGCCTCTCAGCCCTTACAGTCCTCTCTACACAGCCCATAAATGGTGCGGTTTCCAGGGGTGCAGTTAGAGGAAACGTGGGATTGGGTCTTCTCTCTCCCTATCCCCAGGTGAGCTCATCCGTTTCCCTGGACTTAAACAGCAGCTTCTGCTCTTGACGTCCTCCCATCTTTGCATCTGAAGTGCAGACTTGCCTACCCCGCCGGCTACAGGCACCTCGGCCTCTCAGGCTGAACTGCCAGTTCCCAGCAGTCCCAAACCCGCTCCTCCAGCTGCCTTCCCCATCTGAGGACATGGCACAACCATCACTAGGTATTCAGGTGAGACCACTGGGAGTTGTCCTTGGGTCCTTCCACTTCCTCTCCTCCTTCACCCCTCCCATCCATCAGCAAGCCTTACTGATTCTAACTCCAAAATACATCCCGAGTCTGCCCTGTCTCCATTGCCGTCCCTCTAATCCACATCAAATCATTCCTCTGCAGAGAAACCTTCCATGTACTCAGAATTATACCAGCTTCTGGCCAAGACCTGCAGAGACCCACATGGCTGGACCCCTGCCTACCTCCCAGCCTTGTCTGACCCCACTTTCTCCCTCGCTCGTTTCCCGCGGGGCATACTGGTCTCTCGTTTTGCCAAACAAGTCGGGGTCTTGCTTGTGGTGTTTCCTCTGCCTAGAACATTCTACCTCACTCCACTCCTCACCAGATACCCTCCATGGGGGTTGTGGGCAGCGGGGGCTCAGGGTCGAGGGTGGGGGGTGGTAGAAGCTAGCCAGTAGAGGGATTTAGCAGCAAGAGGCATTGAGGTAGTGGAGACTGAAGGACCGAGGAGCAACCAGATCAGAGCCAGCTCTCCTGCTCCTTTAGGTCTTAACTTAAAAACGCCACCTCCTCCAAGAAGCCTCCCCTGACCACCCCACCTAAAGCAGGCTTCTGCTATCCTCTATTTCAGCCCTTCCTTTACTTTTCTGTCTTTACTTGTTCTATCTCATCCATCAGAACGTCAGCTCCACAAGGCCAGGAACTGTATATGCACAGAGCCTAGTACACTACCTGAGACATGGGAAGTGATCAATAAACATCTGTTGAACAAAAAAAGAAACCAGTCACTGCCTAGGAGTTAAGTGGTTTCCTGTAAGTGCAAGAGGTTAACCTGAAGGGGAAACTGAGGCTCAGCAGGGGCCTGACAACAGCTCCAGAGGGCGGCTGAAGCTAACTTCTGCTTTTCCAATTCTGTGGGGCAGGCTGGGGCCCAGGCCAGAAGGCACCTCACCTCCCTTTTCCAGCGTGCCAGCCACTCGTCCCGCTTGCGCTTGCTGATGTAGTAGGGGTCCCCCGCCTGGAAGGTGAGCCGCGGCATGGGCCGCTGGCGGAGGCTGGACTCCCAGCCCAAGCCACCCCGCAGTCGGCCCCGGGAGCCCTAGGACAGAGAGACGACAGAGAGACAGACTGGCATTAAGATGGGCACTGACAGTCCCACTGCAAGGTTCGCTCCTCCTGAGGGGAAACTGAGGAGGCACTCACCTCGAACAGAACACAGGAGATTTGACTCCTGGCCAGAGATGTCCACCCTGAGAGTGCTGGGCAAGGCCCTGTTTGGGCTGGAGAAGTGAGCCACGGGCTGGGGGGTGGGGGGCACATGGACATGAACCATGTGGGGAGGCGCCTGGTCTCAGAGGGGACCAGCTGGCTGCCTTGTTGGGGGGGCTTCTAACCTCCACACCCATCTCCTTTCCTCCTTACACGGGGACATGTAAAGAAGGGGACAGACCACCTCAGGATCCCCTCACACACATTCGCCACGGTTGGTCAGAGAGGTGGCTTTCTTCTAGAATCAGGATCCACAGAGCCCCTGGGGGTTGAGGAAAACACTTGCCTCCATTTTCATGGATTCGATGTTGGTCTCCTTCTGTTCTTTGCCTGTGGAGAGGGAAGAACAAAGGGACTGTCGGCAGAGTTACAGGAGTGGCTCAGAGGCCCCACCTTGTGCCTGGGGTCCCTGCCACGGGGACAGGGGTCCTCTAACCATTCAGTTGTTCATGTGTCAAACCTGATGGCCCACTGCGTGCTAGGCACCATGCTGGCCCCAAGGACTCAGAGCACGGCCTAGAGCAGAGAAGGGACTGGGGCAGCTCTGGAGGCCCAAATCTGAAAGAACAATAGAAAAGCCAGGGCCATGGCTTCTGGCCCCTTGACTCTGTCTCAGGCACACAGACGGGGCTGTCTAGGAACAGCTCCCTTCCCAGAGAAGGGGCCAGATGCCACAGTCTCCCCCTGCCCTGGAAGGGAGCTGTATGCTTCTAGGGAGTGAGGCAAAGATGTCCTCGGGGGCAGCGGGGTACAGGGCCACTGGAGCAAGACTCTGGTGAAGCAACTTTGTTTCTGAGGCTGTTTCCTTATCTGGAAGATAATGAGGCTGGAGATGATCTATCTCTAGGGTCCTTCTGCAGGTCTCAACACTGTGGTTCTGTTATCCATACCTGCCTCTGCACCCCCACTCCCCACCCTGAACCTTTCTTCTAAAAGACTTGGATTCCAGGTGTTTCTGTGTGACCTCTGTAACCTCTTCTAGCCTATTTTCTCACTGAATCAAGATAGCCAACTGTTTAAAATCTTAGGTTACTGGGAACCTTGAGTGCCTGGAGCAGGAGGTAACATGTAGTAGGTGCTCGATAAATATCAGTTTGGATCCCTTTCCCTAAGGCACTTCCCTCCGCCTCTTCTCTGCAGCTCTCCAGCTAGGCCCAGATTCCAGTTCCTAGAAAATAGGCTAGAAGAGGTTAC